TTGATTAAGTTTATTTATCTTGGCCCCTACGTAGGATATAAAACTTTGTGTGTTTTCATTTAAACCAAGTTGAAATGAATATGGGTCCTTAAAAACATTATACTTGTAAATCGTAAGTTTCTAATTGTCAGTAATTAAGATAAGATAACCTTTATTGTCATTTTTTACTGTGGGCACAACGACACACATCAAAAATGAATTTTAGTTGCCTGTTCTCATATCTTCTTTTAACAAGCTATATATACTTCACTGTTCTCCCCTCTAGCATCCTTTTTTAAAATCATTAATGTCATGGCAATTCTTTTTTCTTTATGTTTTCTTTCTTGAGCTTTCTCTTCAATGATTAATCTAGGGCAGGCATATCAAACTCACGATGTCACGTGACGTCGCACGATGTATCGTGACTTTTTCCCCATTGCCGCCAATGGGGTGGGCACGGTTTCAGTATGATGCATCCAGCCTGCAGGCCGGCAGTTTGACATGCCTGATCTAGGGTGTGTTTCTTTCTGGACACACCCCCCCATAATAAATTGTCTTAATTTGAATTCATTTTCAGAAAATATTAGTCCAGAGGAGGAATATAAAATTGCTTGCCTTCTGATGGTCTTTGTGGCAGTCTCCTTACCAACTTTGGCTAGTAATGTGATGTCTCAATACAGTCCTGCCATTGAAGGTAATATTTATGGGAATTCATGGAGAGAATCTATTAACTGTTCAGCTGAAGCTATTGATTTCAATTTATATAGTCTTGGTGCTTACATTTTCGTGTGGAACAAGAAGTCATTTTTATCTCAGAATGGTAGTTTTCAAAAAATAAATATCTTGCTTCAATCAAGCCTGGTTTTTAGAGATTAGTGATTAGAAAAGGTTTAAGCTATAGCGAAAGTATTTATAGGATGAAAAGCAGTGGTGATCATTATCTGGAAGCAGTATTGACTTGTATGTGTATATGCATAAAAAATAAATGTAATAATATAAATGTGTTCTTGTCTAGGTCACTGCAACAATATCCATTGCCTGGCAAAAGCAATCAATCAGATTGCTGCAGCCTTATTTACCATTCACAAGGGAAGCATTGAAGATCGTCTCAAAGAATTTTTGGCTGTATGTACAATTATTTTTTTCCAAAATAACCTGCTCCAGAAATTAAATCTTTTATTTTGCAAAGTTTGAACCTATACAGTGATTCGTGTGCACTGTGTTTGTTATCAACCCTGATAATACTGTGGGGGGGGGGTTTCTATATAATAATGATTGCTATAGTGAATGTCCATTTTTTGTTTTGCGTATTGTTTTTCAATAGAATCTAATTGAGGGATTCGAATAATCAAATGAACTGTGTAGTGTTCAGTTAGTCCCATTCATTTCATTATTACTCATTACCCAATATTCCCTGTGTTTGTTACATTCCTTAGCATTGTGAATTACTATTAGTGTTATGTGGTATTTGTATCAGACATTGCACATGTCCTGAAATGAAAATGAAATAGTGTGCCTTAAAAGTAGGAGGAACTGTAACTTGTTTTGCTTATGTTTAATCATGTATGTGATCAGGATTTATCACTTGTTGCTTGTAAGCACATTGAGAGCTTATGCACCGGAAACAAATTCCTTCTGTATGTCTAATCACACTTGGCCAATAAAGAATTCTAACTCTGTTGTGTGCATTCTTACAGCTTGCCTCCTCCAGTCTACTAAAAATTGGCCAGGAGACAGACAAAACCACTACAAGGAACAGAGAATCTGTTTACTTACTTCTTGACATGGTACGCTTTAATCCTAACTATTGCACCTAAAGCTGTTTTGCAAGTAAGCAGAGAGAGATTGTTGTGGATCACAGGAAAATAATTGCTCAACAAGCTTAACTTATTTAAACAATTTCTACTCCAGCCTTTCCCCCCCCCCTAGTTTTGTCTCAAATTGGACGTATGCTGGCTGCAGATTTTGTGAGTGTCGGTTCAGTACAGCTAGAGCCCACAATATTACACTGTCTTTGCCTTCTCTTCCGTGTTGTCTCTCACTCCAGCAGTTTCCCATTTTAAATTTTCTCAGCAGTACATAGATCACTACCAAGTGCATTTCTGAAAGTTACTTTATTGTGATATCGTGCTCATTCAGCTCACTCTGAAAATGTAAGGAGAAGAAAAATAGTAGGCTGACCATTGTGATTCTCTCTTGTGGGTCAGAGTCTGCTAGCAATGTGACATGATTGCCACATTCTAAATTGGTTGGAGCACCTCACAAATGTGCATAGAATCATAACAAATATTTTGGGAATGAGAGCAATTTATAAATATTTATAAATTTGCAATTGTGGCACATATCTGTAGCTCGGCTATAGGATGAGGGTGAAGGTTCATTCTCTGAGTTTGAGGCTCGGTTTCCAAACGTTTCGTTACCAGGCTAAGTAACATCTTCAGCAGTGTTCAGTAGATGTCTGTGTCTATTGTTTGTAAGGGCTTCAGTTGTGGGTATGTCAAGTGAGGGTCGTCTTGTGATGGGCCAGGTGTGAGTCATCAGAGAGAGGCTTGTGATGGGAGGGTAATTCACACCCTCCAAGGATCCTGACCTGAAGTACCTCTCCATCACAGGCCTCTCTCTGATGACTCACACCTGGCCCATTGCAAGACCCTCACCTGACACTCCCACACCTGAAGCCCTTATAAACAATAGAACACTGACACAGACATCTACTAAACACCACTGAAGATGTTACCTAGCCTAGTGACGAACCGTTCAGAAACCGACGCTCAAACTCAGAGAACGAACCTTCACCCTGACGCTTACAAAAATTTTGGGAATGAGAGTAATTTATAATGCATCCAAAAAGAACAGGCAAATTAACTATTTGGCTTACAGGCTTTACAGACCAGAGGTCTCCCTTGCAGCAATTGGAGTCTCCTTGTTATAGAGATTGCCCCCAAAATGTCATTTTTATTGAAGCCTTAGTTGAAATGTGTGTGTGTGTGTGTGTACACCTGTACGAATATCCGTAAATATAGGAAGACAAATTTTACCAGCATCCTGAATTCTACTCTTTGCCCAGATTCTGACTGATTTCCTCTTTTATCTTAGATTGTGCAGGAGTCTCCCTTCCTGACTATGGATCTTCTGGAGTCCTGCTTTCCCTACGTCTTGCTACGGAATGCGTACCATGCTGTGTACAAACAAAGTGTCACATCCTCTGCCTGAATAGCTACTTATCTGGAGACCAATTAAGCACGCCTCTCTGTTGCCTCAGTTTTACTTGTAAACTGTGGAGCTGTTTTCTTTTATGGCCTGGCAGACTTTTGTGGATTCTGAACTTTTTCCCAATGCAGTTGTATTTCTGACCAGTGGTTTCTTAATATGGTTGTATTACAATATAAGCTTGGCTGATTTTAGGTTGCACATTTGCTGAAATTATCTCTTTATTTTTTTTCTTTTTTAAGAGTCTCAATTCTGTTCAAAAGAGAAATGCTGAAGTTATGGAGTTTTTTTCATATTTGATCATGCAGAAATCATAATGGCTTGTTTATCTCCATGAAGAACTCTATTTAGTGATTATTTTAGTGTTCCTAGTTTTCATCTGTGTGTAAATTATTTCATATAGGGAGAATTACAACCTGTACCTATTGTTCTTATCAGAAATAAGATCTGGATGTGCATTTCTGTGAACTACAACATTTTTACTTTATTTTTTTGAAACACTCACTCACATTAATGACAGATGCTATCTAATATTTTAAAAATAAGTTATAGGATTGCTTATCCTTAAACAATCTTCTCCATACAATCTGAAATGAGAAAAAGTGATTTTGTTTGTATAAAGCCTACATAGTGAAATTTTTTAAGACTAATGTCCATGGTGCCCCATTGGCATTAACACTACATTGTATCCTCCTGTATAATAAACATTCTTATGCATTTATCAAATGTTGATAAAATGTTAGCCCTTAACCACTTTTTATATGTTTTAAATTTTTGAAATTCAAGTGTATCTTCCATTACATACAATAAACACTACACTGAAATGTGCTGGTGACTTTGCTATTTTATGCTAAGCTAGATTGAACTGACACAATTTTAATGTATCTTCATCAAAGAATTTCTTTAATGTTTGACTCAACATTAGTTCTCTTTTTTTGTACAGAATATATTTTTAGTATCTTAACAACTACAGAAGAAAGAGCAAAACATTTCCCTTACTGTCATCTCTAATGTCTATGATTACAGTACAGTTGATTGAAGAGTACTTTATTTTTTAAATACTTTGAATGCATTAAAAACACCTAACTTTGCAGGTTGCTCTGCATTTTTCTTAACTGTAACTAAAGGAAGCGAAAAGTTTAGTCCCCTAGCTTTTGGTTGCATACTTTTCAGTTACTTTCAAATACCAACAGTTGCTTATGCCAATCCTTTGCCATCTGTGCTTCTTTTGAAACATCTTTGAATGCCACATACAGCCTCCCCAAAACTCTTAGTTCTGCATCATTCATGCATGAATCTTGTTCCTGTGACAATTATTACTTATCCTGAAGTTTCAAAACTTGATTTAAGTTCCATTCTAGTCTACTTTCAAATCCTCTAGAGATACACAGATCCAGCTGTTGCAGTGTCTAATGTTTTCAAATGTTGGCAATTCTTTTTTTTTCTCCAATTTCTCTTGCTGAGGTTTTAAATTACTATCAGTAAAGGTCTGATGCTAATAGATTCTGTGTGACTATGTCTTAACTTTGCTGCTCCAAGGCACACGTGAAATTATTATGGTGCCATTGTTTGCACCATTGACAGTACATTCTGCTGTAGGCTAAAAAAAACTATTTTCAGTAACTTTTGGAATTTCCATCCTATAAGCACAGTCTGTTTTTATGAAAAATATCTGTTTCACATAGACCAGGTTTACCTGACACACTAAGAGAATATAGTTCTTTCACTTGTTTAATGTGTTATATTAATTAATTTAAGAAAACTATGCTTAAGTGAAACCATATGGCTTTATGTGACTTGTAAACCTAGTATAAGTTTAGCCAGTTTGTCTATGAGAGCCAGTATGGTGTAGTGGTTAAGGAACCATGCTAAAAGCATGGAGATTGGATTCTAGTCACATCTTAGGCTTGTAAGCTGACTAGGTGACTGGGCCAGTCACATTCTCTTAGCCCAGCTCACCTCACAGTGCCATTGTGGGGAAAGTAGGAGAAGAAAGGTGTGTTCGTTATTTGTAAAAATAATACAGATAATATACAAATAAATACTATCCGCAGGCAGTATTATGAAGTGATCCCAATGATTATACTGTTAAAAGAAGGATATAATGAACATTTTCCAAATCATTTACAAGTTTAAAAATCCTCCCTATAAAGTTTTACGTTTACTAAAGTTTAGCTGTAGGTCTATTGTTTCCTACTGAATGCAGTGCAAGTGGTAAAATCATTTATGTTTCTAAAATTCTAGTTACTCCATATTACCAGACAGTTCTGAAAGACCAAACTAGAACAAAGCAACACCAGTCTACTTCCCTTCAATACCAGCCTGACTTCTATTGGGTTTGAAGAAGTTAGGCTGCCATCTCTGCAGGGATTGACAACCTGTGGGATTTTGATTTCCATCACCCCGGTCAACACAGATAGCAATGATTACATCAAGAAGATCTGAAGGGCTTCGTGTTGCATGTTCCTACACTAGAGACTGATTCTGAATAGAGTTGTTACCTCAAACTTTATTAAACCATTGAAATCAAAAGTCCTGTATCACTACTTTGATGTCCTAATATTAAATCTATGAGCACATAGATTTGAAGACAGGTGGAATCTATGTTTCGTGGTCCATACATAACATCTTTCATAGGAAGTCAATAGATATCTTTTGTCTGCTATGACTAATAGTTCAATCCTGACAGATTAAATAGAAATGTTGCTTGCAGACAAAGTCTGTTCAAGTGCTCTTTTCCTGAGATTCTGCTCAGCAGCAATAAACTTGTTTCATATCAAATGAAGAAATTCACCTTTTCTTAGTTCTTATTTTCAAGATATTCATACATTTGCAGATTGCAAGATTCATTGAACCAAGCCAACACTTTAAAAATGCTAACAAAATGCATACAGTATCAACAGTATTTTGGCCGTTTAATGTGAGTGTAAGTAAAAAGGTCAAAGATTCCAAGAATTATATTACTGAAATATTACGCTCTTGAATATTCTCTAAAATTCACACATAAAATTGAAGCGGTCTAGCTTTATGAAGTTTATATAGTCACCTATCTCTCCAGAAAGAACTCTGGGTGCTGCACAACAATCGGATGAAAAAAGTACATAAAGCAAGTATAAAAATTCAAATTTATAAATATATGAATTAAATATATAGGCACCCATCTCTATACTTTGAGTTCCATATTTGATTCATTTTGGCTACTTACAAAAATCAGCTTTTGCTGATGTGGGAGAGGAAGCTCAAATTGAATTAATGATTTTGCTGTCTTGCTGTTGATAATTAAGGTAAGATAAAGCTTCTTTAGAAAATGTGAGATGTTAGAGCACACACTGGCATTGTCCTTAAATCATGTTGACTTTGCAAGACTAATAGAAATTGCATACTGTGGGGCTAAGGTAAACCAATGAGTTAAGTATACCTTAGAGGCTGGCAAACAGAACTGTTAAACTACAAACACACAACCATTTAATAACAATTTAGATGCAAATATATGTACTGTACTTTTAAAAAAAGATTAGCGATACTTAGTTAATTGCAAACTCTAGAGTAAATATTAAAGATGAGGGACATAGAAGGATGAGCCTTTTCTCAAGTTCTCAATTAATCTTTGTCATAATGAAACAATGGACTATGTTATTTCGGCAAGATTAGAGTCCTGAATTAAAGCTGCTCATTTTTATCACTCCACCAGGACTAACTCTGCATTAGACAGAGTCTGAAAATACAGCAAATGATTTTGTTACTTATTTGTGATTTTCCTCCCAGGTAGGAAAACAAATTGGCTTATTCTTGGAAATCATATTTGACTTAGATGTTAGTGACAAAAACATCATAATCACCATGATATGTTTGTGCACTGCCCTTTGCTACTAACCTGCTTTATGGTGTTGCACATTCCCAGGAACCTCAAGCTTTGTTTTGAAAACCCACTTACAATCTTACGGCTCTTGTCCTTTGAAATTTCTATTAGAATCCATGTTTAACTTTTAAGCAAGGATCACTTGCCATACAGTTGCCTTCCATTTTTATGTCCAGTTGTTGGGAGTCCTTGTCTACCAGATGGAATTAGGCACATCCTTTGCTCTAGCTGTGCAGCACGTTATCTCAAGTGGGATTCCTTAGATCTTTTGAGATCTTAATTCTAATCCTGGGCCTCAGTTTGATTATATGTGAGTAGCACTTTCTGAATCCCGATGCTATTTTAGATTTCTTTTCAGGAACCCCTTCTGACTGTCCAGTGTTGTTATTTGTTGCTTCCCTTTGTGAACTTCCTGGATAAATCCAAGTGTTACTTTTAAAACCAAATTTGTGTTATTTAAACACTGCAGTTCACCTAAGGGTTATTTTCTTCCTCATTAAAATAAATTATTTGTGGTCTTTTGTTTCTATTCAACTTCTCAGCATTATTCCTAACTGGGTTCTGCAATGTAATTTATTCCTTTTTTTCTTTAGGGATATGTGCATAGGTTTGGCACCTAAATAACTTCAGATATGATATATTGGGCTTGCCCATAAATTATGTGGGGTTTCATCTGCACCTTTTGTGAGTAGATGTCTTTCCAGATAAGTAGGTTAAAAGGATAAAGTTTTAAAAAGAAAGTTTTAATTTAAGGTTGGCAAAAGAGAATATTATTGGAAGAAGAGGAAATCAAGTAAAGCTATTTATGGACTATAGAATTAGAGAAATTAATTATTATTGTTTTTTTAAACACTAACCCAGACAACAAGCTGTTTACTAACTATTAAGGTGTATGTTAAAAATCAATAATATATATATTTTTTAAAAAAGAAAGTTTTAAAAAGTAGTTTTTCCCACCCTTGTCTTGATTGGCATGGGGCAAAAAATGTCTGAATAGTTCTAATTACTGTTTTGCAGTCAAGCCTAGGAAAAGTGTTTCCTTCAAGTAGTCTTGAGGCTATGATTCTAACTGGAACTGGAAATTTCTTTCTAAGTGAAGCAATCTTTAAACAAAACATCATGTGACAGCACCACTTAGTGACCGCAGTTCTGGCAGTCCCAGCTGTGGTGGATAGGCCGGGACTTCACTCTTCTGCCCTGCACAAATTATCCCACCCCCCATCAATTCTCTCCACCCACCTATCTCCCTTTACACCTCTGTCCTTCTGGACACCCTGCACAGCATGGCCGAGATGAAAAGGCTGCTGTATTCCACCACCATACCGCACCACCAACAACACTATCCTAACTGTCTAATTGTCTTTTTTACCTCAGGCTCCATGGCATAGGGGCTCTGTCAGGGCTGGCCTTGCCTCCGCCTCCCTGGCCACTGAGCTCCTGGCAGACCTGTCCTGCTTCAGCATCCTCAGCTCACCACTGCATGCATGCATGCTTGCCACCACCTCACCACCACCTGCTGCTGGGTTCCTAGTGGGCCTGTCCTGCTTCAGCAATCTCAGTCCACCAGCAGCCAGGAGTCGTGCAAACATACTCACCTGTACTCCTCAGCCCAGCAGAGGGTAGGTGTGAGGCACAGCAAGGTGAAGAAGTTGAAGGTCGGCTGGGGTGGTGACAGGTAATGTCAGCAGAATACAGTGGCCCCTTCATCCCAGCCCTGCTGTCCAGAGGGTCCAAAAGGACAGAGAAGGGGGGAAGATCCAGCAGGTAGGGGAAGTGGAGGCAGTTCACATAGGGTAAGAGAACATGACCGCAGTAGGCTGTGATGGTCATAAATATAAGCCGGTTGCCAAGTACCCGAATTTTAATCATACTGCAATAGTTAAGTGCAAGGACCAGTTGGAAGTTCATTTTTCTAGTTCAAATGGTCACTAAATGAATGGTGGCAACTTGAAGACGGCCAGTATTTCTT